GGTAGGTTCCCAAAATAAGGGGACCCCAATATAGACCCCAAAATATTGTAATCCTTATTATTGGGACCCCCAAAGAAGGTACCCCTAATTATGGGAATCCCCAATTTGAGTTGCAGGAGAATATGTTAGCATGTTAGGGATGACAGGAACTGAAAGTGTCTGACTGGCACGCTGGATTTTCGTTATTGACCAAGCATACGAACGCTTAGAACCTAGAACGTGAGCATCGTAAAGTGAGAAAAGCCAGCTTGATTTCCTCCAGTAGGCTTTAGAGTTTGGCATTTGCCGGCCAGGGTGTGTTCTGGAACATCTCCATGTCATTTCCAGTTTGTCATGGTGGTGGCGGGGCCTCGGGTGCAGCTCCTTCTGCTGCTAAACCCTAAACTCTCAACCTGATTGTGATAGTTAGTGATTGTGGTGGTGGCAGTGTTGGAGGAATGTTACCGGTGGTGCAGGTCCTTGGCAAGCTGACCTCAGCTCGATCATCCACTGCTGAAGACTGGGTTGCTGTTGAAACACTTAGCTTGAGTTGCCGTATTATGGGAATATGATGAATGATAAGGTTTCCTTTTCATACTTAGTTAAACATGTTCCTCAACAGCAACGCAGAAGATCAGGAATGGAAGCGGCTGTGAGGAAGAGATTGTTCTGGCCAATGCAACCGCACATGAAGATGCCCAGCGAAACGGCTGGAATAGCTCGGAACCTATCTTCAACCCAGAGGCTTGGGTCTGCTCAAATGCAGAAAGTGTCCTGGCTAGTACGGCCTTGGTTGAGTCGCTCTGTGAGTGGACTGCAGCTGGGGTGCTTTGTTTGCTGGGATGGTACATTGGCAAGCGGCGCGGATATTTTGCAGAGCATGGCTGCTCATTGAAACGTTATGCCACCAACGACGACGCGAAGGCAGTGGCGCATGAGGCATTCCGGTCCCATGCCGGCGTGGCGGTGCCTAGGTAGCCATGTTTTGTTGTACCGGCCTCATGAACAGCTTGCGCCAGAGCGCAAAGAACCATTATCCCGTGGTTAGAAGACTCTAGTTTGAAGCTGCCTAGGTTCGGTCCGTCCTGTTCAACACCATGGAAATGATCTCTCCTGCAATTTCTCTGGGTATAGGCGTTACAGAGGCCGCCGTGTTCAACTTCTTTGCAGAGATGGGCTTCTTCTCATACACTGTCCCAAACTTGGTTTGTGCTGGTGCCATGATACTTGGGCCTCGCTTGCTCGGCCAGGGAAGAATTGCCGAGTTCCGATGCTCGGAAGCCGAACATAACCCCGATATAACCCCAATATAACCTTAATACTACTCCAAAAGAACCCCAATATAATCCCATTATTGCCCCAATATCGCTTGTTTGTCAGCAGTGTTGTGCATGGCCAGACCGAGTTCTCCCCTCATGACTCCATAGATGCTGGCTTCACACGACGGACAACTATAGTCCCCCTTAAGTAGATAGAATATGGCTTTGGGTATGGTTTAATAAGATCCCATATTCTATCTACTTAAGGGGACTATAATTTGAGAAGTCCCAGATGAACGCCCTGTGCCCTTCATGCTCTCTAGGAATGCTTATCCACGTGCACCGATGGATGGCTATACTTTTTGGCGTGGCCTTCACAGCTTTTGCATTCCTCACGTCTGAAATTTCGATTGCTGATGAATTCACCAACAAGGTGGGGCCGAATCCAGTCCAGGGGCTCCGCGTTATCAAGACGTCTACCATGTCTTGCGCAATGGGTTGGATTCAGGAAGGCTATTGACTTCGTTTCATGGCAGATGAGCCAAATGCTGGGAATGTCCATCTCTCTAACACTAACACGTGGGGCATGATGGCAGGCGCATGTGAGTGAAGGAAGTGCTTTTTCCCTAGCACATCCCCACAAGATCCCATTGCCCTCATTTTGCCGATTGGCGCGGCTTAAAACAAACCTTTGTGGCTGCGCCTGAAGAACAGGAAGGTACTGGACAACTCCTCAAAAGGAAGGAAAGGGAAGCGATGATACACGCAAAGACAACAGGTTCCCGGCAACCACCTGGCCGAATCCGCAAACTTAATCACCCTAAGCCCTAATTGTTTAGGATTTAGGGTTTAGGGGATCCTATTGTTTCGCGAAGTGGTTGTCTCAATCCCTCATCAGGGCGACATGCACACCACTGTACACCCCTATGTATCCCTACATTTACGTATATTCCCCTATATGACCCGTATAACCTTCCGACTGTGTAGTTGCAATAAATAGCGGCCCCAGCATGTACCCCAGTACATTAGAATCCTGATTGTTGGGACTCCCAAAACAGAGGTCCCAAGCATCCCTGCGTGCGCACATCATTTTATGAAAACAGATAGACGTATAATATATATATATATGTATATACATATGTATATACACATGTAGATACATACATATACATGTATACACACACATATATGCATGTAAATCCCCACATATATATATACATACATACATACATACATACATACATACATACATATATATATATATGTATATATAACCGCACGGTCTGTAATGGGGACCAAATTTGTAAGATCTCCATGGCTACAGGGATATATAGGCGATTATGAGGGTGCTTAGGGCATATGGGAATTCGAAGCGCTTGGGGTTGGGGTTTCAGACGCGCAGAGTATTGAAGGTTCAGGGCTTGAAGGACCCAAGGTTTGAGAGAACTGGGCCCCGGAATTTTCAGCAAGCCTACACAACACTAGACTTAAATAGTCCCTATGATCTCTGCACAGCTTCATGTAATCCCTAAACCCGAAACCTCCCCTCAAACATCCTCGTAGAGCCCCGGAATCCCAATCCCAAACCCTACAGTCCCCCTTAAGTAGATAGAATATGGGGTACATGGGGATCTTATTGTTATATACCCAAAGCCATATTCTATCTACATAAGGGGACTATAAAGCCTGAGCCTTAAACCGGTTTAGCAAGGTGGACAGCTCTTTGTTCACACCGCTTGCGGACAGCGTGTTTCCTGGGCTGAAGACGACTGTATGGGTATTTGGCTTAGGGTAGTTTAGGGCCCATGGTGTATGACTCCTAAGCCCAAGCCCTAAAACCTGTACATCCCCATACCCCTTCAAGGCGACAGGTTGGGATTTTTGGCTAGCCACAGAAAAATCAGCTAGGATTGCGCGAGCTCTCGAATAGGGGAATTTCATTCCTGAGGCCCTCCAAAATTGCACAGTTCTGTTGGAAGTCCTTTATGCTAGGTATTTTACGCAGTATGCTTGGCGGGGATAGGCAAAATGTAGCGAGATCATGGGGATTCTGCACCCTAAGCCTAAACCATCAACCGTGTTTCATTGTTATGCGAGCATTTGTCTTTCCACAGGTTGCTGAAAGATCCATCTGCCTAACTGATGATATTGGGGCTGGAAGGCTCTCCCCAAAAGTAAGGTATCCAGCAGCAATTGTGCTGCAACCGTTCCTCGCAATGATCGGAGTCTATGGGCCGTTGCTGATGGCTTGCGGAGGCTACGCGACTCGGCACTTCTGACTCTCTCCCTGTCAGTCAGGTTCATCAACGCTTCTGTAGTAGCAGTAGTAATAACCATCGTAATACCAGTACTAGTAGTTATATGGTAGTAGTAATAGTAGCAGTAATCATCATAATAGCAATAGTAGTAATAGTAGTGGAGTAGAGGCCTTTAGCTTCCCCTAATGACAGCATTTCATGCAGTTGGTGGTAGTATCGACTGCCATGTGGAGGCAGAGACATATTAGTAAGATGTAGTTGCTGCGGTCAGGCGACTCGGATCTGGGTGACTCAGGGATACTTCCCAAATGGAAAATCAAATGACATGGAAACTGGGATTAGTTTGGGGTTATATTATGCGAGCAAGCACTTTAATTGTGTACTCTTAAGGTTTCTAGCCTTGAGCTTTGGGCCCCAAATACCCTACGAAAGGGCTGTATTCCATGGTTCAGCAGCCAAACCCAAGTGTACAACCCTGACGGTACAAGGGACAGCTTCCTGATATGCAACCTTCAGAAGCAATACCCCAAAAGTAGCAATGACTGAAACTAGCACACTGTGTGATTTCTGCCAAACCACCTTATGATGTACTGAATTGGATTTCTGAAAACAGGGGACCCTAAAATAGACCCCAAGTACACCGGAATCCTTCTTGTACAGACCAAGAAGGGGGTAACTGTAGGCCGACATTGCAGGTTAGAATGCAAATTCTTGAGAAAGGTGATTGTGTAGCTAAGCACATGGAATTTTCCTAACATGCTCCCCAGATAACCCTATGGGACCCAAGATTATCCCCGTATGATCCCCACATATCTCTTGCGTCCCCATGCGCATCGCGGTTCTGAAAAACTCCCGCACATTGCACGAGGTTTACTGATTACAAGACAGCAGGAACAGGTGGGGAAATGGCCTGAGTGCCACATCCCGAGCCACAGCCCTAGCTGTAGCCTTGATTTCTGATAAAGGCGTTTTACTCAAAAAGGAAGTGTATGCGCTTACTTTAGCGTGAAACCTGTAACTCTAACCCTCAGCCCGTCTCAGGTGAACTTTAGTCTAAACTCCTAGTATCCCCAGTAATATCCCCTATTGCAGTCCCCTATAGATTCCCTGATATAACGCCCCTTCAAGGGGTTTAGACTATAGCTCAGGTGAGCTGGGGTGTTCTTGTGGGCGTGCTTTTCTTCCTGGTCTACCTGCCGCCGACCATTGCTGCAGCTGTCCTTGGGGATGTGCATCCCGACTAGATCAGTCTTTTCCTCCAAGGGGGCTGGTGGGGAATATGGGAATTTAGTAATAGTATAGGGTTTAGGTCTTAGGGCTAGTGGGAATATGGGAATACATTATGTAGGGATTATATAGGGATGATATTCCCTTATTCCCTGCTAAGCACCAGTTAGTTTTGTAGAGCTTACAGAAGTAGCGATAGCGCCATGAGCATTGGCACAGGGCGGCCTGTTTTGTAAAGGGACTTAGGAGCATTTGGTTGTGATGTGTTGAAGGGTTGGTTCTAAGTCATGGTTAGTTATTATTTTGCTGTAAATGCGCCATCCTGGCTGATGGGATAGACGCAAAAAGCCATCACGGCTCCCACATGGGAATATGGATCGCCAGTGTAACCACCAGCGTAGTGATATGGAAATGGCATCGGGCTGCTCCCGGCATCCAGAAAGCCCAAAACCATGAGTAGGTAAGATAATCCTAGCCCTCGAACAAATGTGAAGGCCTGGACCAGAAGCCAAAAACTGGCTCCCGAATAAAGGCTGGAGCCACCGCATCGAAACAGTGGCGAGTGGTAAGTCACTGGCCAGTCAGCGCTGTACGAAACATGCCGATCCAACCAGATACCTTGGGGCTGCCCTCGCAAAGAAGAGGAGGACAGCGTAAAAGCGGTGAGGCGTCTGCTAGGCACAAACCACCACCTGAGCCACTCTATACAACATCGTGGCGAGTTGTCGTTGATTGCATAGTCATGCAAAAGTTTGTACGGAAACCAGTCGAACAGCGCTGTACGCGGATGCCGGAAAGACCAGTGAAGCCGAAGTTGCCTTAAGCAGCAATGAATTGTGAAGAAGTCGCGTTCCATGTTGTCGTTTCCAATGTGCCAGAAACCTCCCCCACTACCCCAATCCCCTCACGGGGATCCGAGCGAACTGTCTGACCTACGTCGAACAGCATGGGCAGCAGTTGCCAGCGCCTCTAGCGCCTGTAGGGTTCTCAAACCGGGTCCCAACCGGCGATACTAACAGCAGTGCCATGAGGGCCAGCAGGAAGAATCAGCACCATCAGCAGGAACTCCATGAAAGCGACAGCGTGCATGATGCCCAACCACTCAGATTGAGCGCGTTTCCGGAGGTATTTGTCATGCCAGCCATCGCCAGCATATCGGGTCAATTCCCGCGCCGCCGCCAGCAACCACGTAGCAGCAGCGCCCCCCTCCGGGGGGCTAAGTCATGGTTAGCCAATTTCACCCCCAAGCAGCACGGCCCTTTTTTAATGAACAGCCCTGGAAGGGATCTACAGTTCCAAGACCTGTCCGTTCAAGCGCGGCAATCACTAGTGCTACCAGGATGGGGCGGAGGAGCATCCTCTTGTCAGTAAATGAAAGAACAGAGGTCCTCATTGTGCCGAGGCATGACCAGAAACATGCTGATAGTAGCCAACGTAACACATCCTTTGGTTCCGTACAGGCAAGAGGCGAGATTCCGAGACTGTTACCCTAAACCTAAACCCTAAACCCTAAACCGCGAATCCAAGGTACCTTCTGGTGTATGCGCAGCTGGCGTTTGCAATTCTGCAGCTGGGCTCAGTAAGGGCCAGAACAGCAAAGAATGTGGCAGTAGCTTGCGTGAAAAGGGTTTATATAGGGGGTTATTTAGGGATAATGGAAAAGAAAATGGAAACTATTATAATGAGTTTAGGGTGTAGGGGTAGTAGCACTTACCGCCTTTGTCGCGGCAGAAATCCCCTGCTTGTCGCCCGCATTTGTGCACGCTGGATATGGTTGGGTTTCAATCAAGTGTAGGTAACATGTCCAGCTGGCATCACATGTGGGGGGGGGGGTTCTCAACGCAGGGGCCTCACCCTAGCTGCCTACAACTTCGTGAGTGAGGCACTTCTTCGGTGTTTACTACCTGGTCCACTTCCGCTCCTTGGCAAGCTGAACTGCGTGGGTGAG